TCAAGAGAAGGGAAGCTTCAGGGGAAGAAGAAAAGATTTACAAGTCAGGGCACTCCTGTTCTGAAATCCCCCTCGGAATCAGGCCCGATCATTCCCCCTAAAGCACCGCCTCTCTCCCGAGGGGAAGGATGTTGCACGCTGGATGCTGAAAACGCATGAATTTAGTGCAGCAAGAAATTTGTCCTCCCCCAAAATCTGTGAGAGAGAGACAGGCTTGCTCTTTGCTGCTGGGTCCTAATGTTCTTGCCCAAGATGTCATATGCCAACGTTCTCCAAAAGATGGGACCCAAGTGACATTCTGCTCTGGGGAGAAGCACAAGGAACAAGAGCCTGGATTCAACAGCGCCCAGCTGCAGAGCAGGGTCAAACACCACCACCTCAGAGGCTGCTCTTGTAAGTGTCTAGAACAGAGGCCAGCCCCATGTTTCAGCAAATCATTAAATCCATCCTTCCCTGGAAGCTCACCACCAAGGAACTACGCCCAGGACACTGCACGAACAGGAACCGAGGGAGGTGATTCTGCCCCTTTGCTCTGCTCTGGTGAGACCCCCCCTGCAGGGCTGCGTCCAGCTCTGGGGCCCCTAGAACAAGACAGACATGGAGCTGTTGGAGCAGGTCTGGAGGAAGTTGTGGAAATGGTCACAGGGCTGGAACACCTCCGCTGTGGAGAGAGGCTGAGAGAGCTAGGGTTGTTCAGCCTGGAGAAGAGAAGGCTCCAGGGGGATATTATAGCGACCTTCCAGTGCTGAAAGGGGGCTGCAGGGAAGGTGGGGAGGGACTCTTAATCAGGGAGTGCAACGATAGGACAAGGGGTAACAGTTTCAAACTGAAAGAGGGGAGATTTAGATCAGATATTAGGAAGAAATTCTTCACCTTGAGGGCGGTGAGGCACTGGCACAGGCTGCCCAGAGCAGCTGTGGCTGCCCCCTCCCTGGCAGGGCTCAAGGCCAGATTGGATGGGACTGGGAGCAACCTGGTCTGGTGGGAGGTGTCCCTGCCCAGGGCAGGGGGTTGGAACTAGATGATCTCCAAGGTCCCTTCTAACCCAAACCATTCTGTGATTCTACAATACTATGATCTAGATGGACATACCAAATTCAGGCCACTTGGTAAAAAGCCACCCCCGGCTCCAGAGGACAGGTCTCATAACACAGAACTTGTACTTTGAACATTCCCTTGTGCTTCGCATGATCTGTGCTTTGAGTCTAAACGTTTACCTGTGGTCAGTGCTCAGAAAGCAACAGCACTGGTCCCACACTGGATCAGAGGGGACAAGCACGGGGCCACTCTGTTTCCCTGTCAGCCATTCTCTTGTCACCCGACCGCCCTGTCTCCACCCTGACCTCAGCCACCCACGTGCACCCTGCACGCACCAGCAGCACGGCCTCACCTCATTCTCCTCCTCATTGTGCAGGGGCTGGGTATAAGCATCTGGCTTCCGGATCAGAGGGTCCACCAGCACAAGGAAAGCCATGTAAAGCAGCAGTGCCCCCACCACGGACAAGTAAATGATGATGATCACCTGCAGTTAAGGACATCACAGTGGAAAAGGATCAGTAATGTCAGTAATAATAAAATAATCAGTAATGATGAGGGTTGGAACACCTTTCCTATGAGGACAGGCTGAGAGGGTCGGGCTTGTTCAGCCTGGAGAAGAGGAGGCTCCGGGGAGACCTTCCAGTGGGCTTCCAGTACCTGAAGGGGGCCTACAGGAAGGCTGGGGAGGGACTTTTTACAAGGGCCTGCAGTGACAGGGATGATGGTTGGAAGCTGGGAGAGGGCAGGTTTAGACTAGATACAAGGAGGAAGTTCTTCACCCTGAGGGTGGTGAGACACTGGAGCAGTTGCCTAAGGAAGCTGTGGATGCTCCATCAAGGCCAGGCTGGATGGGGCTGGGAGCAACCTGGTCTGGTGGGAGGTGTCCCTGCCATGGCAGGGGGCTGGAACTAGATGATCTTTGAGGTCCCTTCCAACCCAAACCGTTCTGTGATTCTACGATTCTATGTAGATAAGAAGCACCACAGAGGCAAGGAAGCTCCTTTCACAGCTGCCTCTGATGTTTGATCTCTTCCCTCACTCTAATTTTGCTCACTACAGTCTCTTGCACTTGCAGGAAGGCTGATGAGACGCAGCTGCCCTCACTGCATAAACCATGCTGATCTTCTCCGCGCTGTGTCCATTTAGGACATGTGCTGCACGTGAAAGGAGACCAACAGGATGGGTCCCCAGTCAGAGGAGCTTGGCGCTGTCACACATCCTCAGCAAGAAGACTGGGCTCCTGTACAGCCTGCTCCTCGCTGCCAGGAGCCCTCCTGATCGTGCCCCTGGCACTCCCACCGTGTACTAGCGGTGGTAGTTTCATTTTCCCTTTCTGGGCTCTTCTCCAGGAACCCACCAGCCTAGCTGTGCCTGGGATGGTGTGGCACAGCAAGGAGAAGGAGCCAGCCACAGGGAGCAGACCCTCAATCACCTTGATGGTGGTGGTGCTGCGCTCCTCGTACTTGCACTCGCACAGCAGGCAGTAGGCCTCCACATCGTTCCCTGGCACCGGCATGGGCTCCACAACGTGCAGGCAGTTGCTGCAACACAAGGCAACCAGAATCAGCGACACAACAAGGCGAAACCAACGCTCTGTGGAAGGATGCTGGGGTGACATTTTCTGTGCCTCAGTTTTCCCATCAGGCTGGTAATACCGGTCTGGTTTTGAGAGCTCCCCTCGCAGCTCAGCTAGCCCAAAGTTCCTGGGAGAGAGTGTCCAAGCGCCTTCTGCAGGGAGCTGGTTCAGGTGAAGGGGGCTGGTGGGGACACCCTGCCTCTTCTGAGAGCTGTGGCTTAAGAAACCACATCTCCCTGATCCCTCAATCTCTGTCCAAAAAGCGCCCCTCGCCTGGGTTGAACGTCAGCGACAGAAACGGCTTCCCGTGCAAATGCACGGGCAGGGAATTCCGTCCTTAGCACGAAACTCCGGAGCCTTGGCTTTCATGGACTGACCCCTGGGGCTCCGACCCACAACTCACCAGTCCTTCTGCGACACATTCTTGTTGTAGATGTTCCCGCTGATGTTGCGGTACGGGGGACAGATGCACTTGCAGCGGATGTCCTCCGAGCTCTGCAGAGGCAAGAGGAGACGCCATCAGCGAGTGAGCACGTAGGCACAGTTCTGCTGCCCTCACCACCCAGCAGCGCAGGGAAAGGCCAAACGCTCTCTACGAGAAAGAGGACTTCACACCGTGTCTCCCTGCGCTGCTTCTTTCACATCAATACCTTCACAGTTTTAAAATGTCTTGAGCACCTCTGCCCCGGACACGAGGTACTTTTCAAACAAATTTTAAAATGCAAACTCCAAAACACAGCAGAAGGCAGGACAGAGGCCACCGTCACATACATTCACAGCAATATAGGTGACAAAGACACATCTGCTGTAGCACTCCTTAGCTTTGCGAACTTCCACAGAAAAACAGGTGCTTCTCTGCCATTTTTGTTTCTGTTGTACTACACCCCCCCCGCCTCCAGATCAGTGCTCATGTCTGAAGCCGCTCACTCACCTTGCTGGCCTGCGCTGGAGGGAAAAGGATGCAGCAGAGCAGTGCCATCAGCAGCACGGAGCTCGCACACTTGTGGGTGCACTGGGCAAACATCATGGAAGCCTGAGGAAACAAAAATTCACATCCAGGATAGAGGATCTCAGCTGAAAGCAGCCAGAATGAGTCAGTTAGAGCTTTCTTTTTTGGCCCACTTGCCTCTGTTTTACCCAGAAAGTAGAAATTTATCCCTGAGTCAAGGCTGATGTCAGTCAGAAACTCCTGGCAACACTTTACACACATCCCAAGAAACACTCCTATCAAAAAAGGCTTCCACGATCTAGAGCCACACATCCAAACTACCACATTCCTGCAAAAAATATTGCTGACTTCGTTACAGTTTGACTTCTGCAGCTCCACATAACCTCCTGCTACTCTCTCACTATTGTGGAGCTCTGCAACAGCTATTTTCCTGCTAAAAAAATTCCCCAGTAGAAGATACAAAACCAGGAAATCCATTGACCAAGAAAAGGAGTACACTGGGGCCTCACTGCTGAACTGCATAACAAATGTTAAATCATTCATCTTATGAGACTCAAAGATTTGCTTCTGAAGGGGTCAGCGTATTTTCCTCTCTCCTGAGCCATGAACTATGTATGGCAAGGGGGTGGAATATTTACTGATTCCTAAACCTCCTTTACTCCAAGATGCCTGTTCAGTAAAATCCTAATTCTTAAAAATTGTTCCAAGTTGCTAGCTTGGTGAATTCATGATACGCCTTTCCTTACGTATGCAAAGGTAAAGTTGTTCTAGAGACGTGTGTTCGCACAAATCCAAAGGAACACGAGTTCATTTTCTTCGCTGCAAAAAGCGAAGTCCGACTTAACAAGGCTGGCACTCACATTCCCACGGGCAGCACGGCTGGTGACAAGAGGCACAGCAGGCCTGTAAGTGCCACCTTGGGGACAGCTCTGAAAAGCCACTTCAGCACAGCTTTATTCAGGGAAGGTAATTTACACCTTCGTTAATCAGCTCCATATGCACACCTAATCCCACAGCTAACTCCAGGTACTTGGACTCTGTTACAGAACATAATTCCATTAGTATTTACATCACTGGAATGTTCTGTCACTGTTTGCTTTATCTCAGGTCCACACTCAATATTCACGTAACTAATGCTTCATCGACTTTATGGATTGCAAACACCAAGTTCACCTCTTCTTTACCTAAACAAAACACCAGTCACTTCTAACAAGCTGACCTACCAAACCCCATCAAAATGCATTCCAGCCCTATCAGCTTATTGCAGGATTTCTTAACCCTCTGCGCCCCAGTTAGCAGAAACCTCAAACAATGGTTCATTCTTTGGAGACACGCTTGCACATCAGGGTTTTAGCTCTTCATCAGAAATACCATGTGACTTATCCGAGCTGCACAGTGCACGTTCCCCACTGTAAGTGTTTTTGGACTAGTACTCGTTTGAATTTTTAACCCAACAATGGAGCTCATATTGGGAATTTAGTTTTAGCCTGCTCAACTAAATTCAGATCATCCAAACAGCTCGTAACTGTCATTTTTAATAAAAGCAAGGGAAAACACATGATCTATTCCACCATGTTTACCGGCAACAAAATAAAAACGTGGAATGACACCTAGACAGAGGCCACCCATCACGAACTGTAAAACACCACAGAAAGGCCAATTTACCCGTAGTTCAGGGCACCTGCACACAGGCCTTAAAGCTATTGTCTTCCAGACCACCAGCCAAGCCTACAGCAGCCATCTGCCTAAATCATCTCCAGTGGAGGAGAGCGACTCAGGCGTGGTTGGGGGCTCGGAGTTGTGACTGAGGAGCGTGGCAGCCCCCAGGCATGGACACTCCCCCCGCCCCAATCAGGCCCACAGCACAACGGCACCCACCCGCCCTGTGCCCCTTCTCCCTGGGAGTACCCCCAATAAACTCTTCACCTTTTCCATCACCTGCAGCCTTTCCAAGACTAAACCTAGGCCAGCTCCAACACGCTGCCCAGCCCGGGATCTGCACTCTAACCACCCCCGACCCGACCCACTCG